CTTCACCTTCACCTTCACCTTCACCTTCACCTTCACCTTCACCTTCACCTTCACCTTCACCTTCACCTACACCTTCACCTTCACCTTCACCTTCACCTTCACCTTCACCTTCACCTTCACCTTCACCTTCACCTTCACCTTCACCTTCACCTTCACCTTCACCTTCACCTTCTCCTTCACCTTCACCTTCACCTTCACCTTCACCTTCACCTTCACCTTCACCTTCACCCTCACCTTCACCTTCACCTTCACCTTCACCTTCACCTTCACCTTCACCTTCACCTTCACCTTCACCTTCACCTTCACCTACACCTTCACCTTCACCTTCACCTTCAGCGATATTTATAAAGAAATGTATGTTCATATTTATTTATAGAGCACATTGTTCAATAAAAAGGGCAAGGCGGAAGTTTATTTGTAGTTCAGCGATTGTGTTGCGTTGACAATAAAAATCAATTTAACTTTTCTCTATGCATACCATAGAGAAACAAAGTAAACCGATTTTGTGCCGGGCGCCAGCGGCAAAATTAAAAATAAATCTTTTCACGTCGAATTTCTTCAGACGGTCTTCGTTGCCGCTTTGGTTGTGTGCAATGTCATATAAGTCAGTGTTTTCATTTTTGCAACGAACTTTTTTCCGACGAAGTTCGCTCAGCGATTTGATTCTGTTTATACTTAAAATAATAATTAATATGTAATTGTCGAAAAGCTTTTTAACTACATTTTGACCGCATAAAAACATTAAATCGAAAGTTAAGTACATACTTGTGGTGTCGCGAATATAAATGACTTAGACTTTTTTTGTAGTTAGTCAACCAACTCAGAAATACCAACTGGAGCTAAGTTCGACTCACGTATTAAATATTTATTGTTTCATTTTTATGTAACTACTTTTAAAAGAGTGTGTTTTTCCGATTGCGAACATTTTCGATTGAGGGTCAGCTTCTCAATTTTTGGTTAACACTAAGGCTAAACATCGTTATCGACGTAATCGACTCCATAACATATAGCAAATGGTCGATAACGATATTTAACCTATTGGTGTTAACCAGACATTGAAAAATTGGCTCCAAATGCTCAGTTAGACTTAATGAAAAAGTCAATAAAGCGGTTGTATGTACTGCATTCATGGGGACTAAAGTAGTTAAAAAATATCGAAATTTTCGTATTCATGAAATTTACCGTTATATGGGAAGTGGACAAAAATTTTGTGAGATTTCAAAAATTTGCAATACTTCGTTTTTTTTTTTACTAAGGGCATATGTATATGCCCATACATATCTACCCTGCAAAAATTTGAGGACCAGGTGGTCCTCTGGGATGTAGTTTTAAAGTATGTGCAAAGGACCAGGTTGCATACTAGCTATGCTGACCATGTGTTGAACACCATCTCTTCGTGGCCGATTGGCAATATTATTCGGTTGCCGTATGTGCCATGGTCCAAAAGGATTAGTTGTCTAGGTGGTCGCATGTTATGCAGCGGTGGACCAGAAGGTACATGGGCGTAACCAGGTAGGGGCGGCGGCCTTGATTCGCCCCTAACTTTCAAGCTTTCCCTATATACATATTTAAAATATAGTACCCTGAAATGCTAGCTTAATAATTTATTACAAAACTAAATAATTGTATTTAGGTAAACTATGCCGCAAATTATTTAAAAAATAACTTGAGATAAACAAGCAACCTACTTGCGGATTGGGGGCTTAACTAGGGGATGGTAAAATTACATAAAAGGGATAATTTAAACTTTTTTTTACTCATTAGCACTCGTCCTCGATATGATTAAAAATTTTCAATATTTTCATTAAATTACTTTGCGCCACGCCTGTTCTTAACTGCTGCCTCATTTCGTCAGCCGCATCAAGTATCTTTTCTTTTAGGACATCCACATTTTAGATCGGAGTCAT